CGTCGCGGTAGCCGAATCTCCACCCACGGATTTGTCTTTGGACCCCCGTGTGGTACAGTTGCTTGACGAGTTCGCTGACATCTTCGAGTCACCTACCGGTGTGGTGCCGAATCGGCCGATCTCTCACGAAATCATTCTCGAGGACGGTGCCGTGCCGCCGAAAGGTTGCATCTATCTCATGAGCGAGGAAGAACTTACAGTACTCCGCGCGCAACTCAATGACTTGTTGGACAAAGGCCAGTGTCGAGCCGTCGAAAGGTTGCATCTATCGCATGAGCGAGGAAGAACTTAGTACTCTGCGCGCAGCTCAATGACTTGTTGGACAAAGGCTGGATCCGGCCCAGCAGCTCACCATATGGTGCGCCAGTTCTCTTCGTACGGAAGAAGAACAAGGATCTTCGCCTATGCATGGATTACCGTAAGCTCAATGCACAAACCGTCAAGAATGCGGGACCTCTTCCTAGTATTGACGACCTTCTGGGGTGTTTGGGCGGCGCAATTTTTTTTTCAAAATTGAGTTTGAAGTCGGAATATCATCAGATTTCGATACGCCCGCAAGATCGCTACAAGAACGCGTTCAAGACGCGGTACATACATTTTGAGTGGGTGGTCATGCCTTTTGGCCTCACCAATGCCCCAGCGACTTTCCAAGCGGCGATGACCAACGAGTTCCGTGCAATGCTAGATCGGTTTGTGCTGGTCTACCTGGACGACATCCTTGTCTATAGCCAGACCTTGGAGGAACATCTCGAGCATCTTCGGCGAGTGTTGGAGATGCTCCGTCGCACGAAGTACGAAGCCAACCGCGACAAGTGTGAATTCGTCGCACCTTGGTGGAATACTTAGGTCATTTTGTCACACCCGAGGGCGTCAGTCCGTTGTCGGACAAGATTCAATCCATCCAAGAGTGGTCGGAGCCGTGGAATATCACGGATGTTTGTTCGTTCCTTGACCTTGCCGGCTACTACCAACGTTTCATCAAGGGATACTCGAAGATCGCACCCCACTTGACCAAGCTCCAATGCGAGGATCGACCGTTTGACTTCCGGAAGGATGCGCGGGAATCAGTTTTGGACCTCAAGGCTGCATTATTATCCGCGGAGGTCTTGCGCATATACGACCCGCTATTGCCAACGCGTGTCACTACGGATGTGTCCGGCTACGACATTGGTGCCGTCCTCGAACAACTTGATGGCGTGGATTGGCACCCGGTCGAAGACTTCAGCAAGAAAGTGTCCGTCGTGCACTCAATCGAGGATGCACGCAAGGAGGAGCTCCTCGCCTTCGTCCACGTGCTCAAGCGGTGGCGACACTTCCTCCATGGTCGAAGCCAATTCCGATGGGTAACGGACAACAATCCAATAGTCTTCTACAAGACCCAAGATACCGTCAACAACACCATCGCCTGTTGGACGACTTTCATCGACCAGTTCAACTTCTTTCTCGATCTCATTCCGGGGAAGTCAAACCGTTTCGCGGATGCTCTTTCACGGCGTCTGGATCATTGTACCGCAGTCTATTCGACGTTCGAGATCGATGACGACTTGCGGGACAGCTTCATCCGCGGCTACAAAGCCGCGAGTTTTGCGACAAGTACGTGAATTGCTCCTCTCCTTATCTGGTGCCACCTCACTACCGGATCCAAGAGGGATACTTGCTTGTCCACACGCGGGGGAAGGACCTTCTTTGCGTTCCAAGCGATGCTGATTTGTGGACACGACTTCTTGGCGAGTTCCACGATGCCCCTGCCACCGGACACTTGGGATTCAATCTAACAATTGGCCGACTTCGTGAGCGTTTTTGGTGGCCCGGCATTCTCGGCGACGTCACATGCTATTGCGAGTCATGCGAGGTTTGCGGACACTGCAAATCTCGCAAACATCATCCGCACGGCGAGTTGCGACCATTACCGGTCCCCTTGCGCCGGAGGGAAGCGATTGCCATGGATATCACCGGGTCATTCCCCAAGCACAAGACAGGTGTGGATGGGATTCTCACGGTGGTCGACCGACTCACCAGGTTTGCCATGTTTTTGCCTTGCCGCTATCATGCCAAGGCACTGGAGTTGGCCGAGGTTCTCTACGCCGATTGGATTCGAACCAAGGGTTACCCCAAGGAAATTGTCTGCGACCGCGCCACTCGTTTCATGTTCGATTTTTGGTCGGCGCTCATCAAACGATGGGGCTCATATCTCAAGCCGAGTTCGGCTCGCCACCCCCAAACCGATGGCCAAACGGAGAGGGCGCATCACACCGCACAGGTTCTCCTTCACACTCTCATCCGCCCCGACCAAAAGGATTGGGTTGAACGGTTGCCGGATGTCGAGTTGGCATACAACTCGTCCATCGATCTGGCTGTCGGGATGTCGCCCTTGAGTTCGAGCACGGCTCACCGGCTCCGTTGGACACAATTATCCCAGGGGCGGCTGAGAGCGACGACCACCTTCTTTTCTTGCGTCGGATGCAAGAGCTACTTGTCAAGGCACGCAACCAGATGGCAAAGACGCAGCAACGCATGAGCCAACAGGCCAATCGCCAGCGTCTTCCTTGTCCATTCCGCGTCGGCGACCTCATATGGGTTCCCGCCGCAGAATTCAGCCTCGAACAAGATATCTCTCGCAAGCTCCTTCCGAAATGGATGGGGCCCTGGCGATCGTGGCACCCGCTGGGGATGCCCCCGCAGGACCTTCATTTATCATTGAGGTGCCCGCCCACTTGCCTGTCAACCCGGTCTTTCACTGGTTCAAGCTGGCTCTTTACACGCCAACGGAACATGATGACTTCCCCGGGCGATGATCGCAAGACCCCCCCTCTATGGACGGTTTTCAAGAGGTTGGCAACATCATCTCCCAGCAACGCTACGGCAACAGGCCGACCGAATACTTGGTACATTTTGCGTACTGCACCTACAAAGCTGACCATTTGCTGACCTGTGCGGAATTGCAAGCAACATCTCTTGATGTTCTCGCAAGCTACGAACAGCAAGGCAAGCCGGCATCTCCGGCTCCACGTCACACCCGCGCCCAGGTTCCACCTTCAGCTCGTCAGCTTCGCCCTCGACCCAACTTGACTTCATAAGGAGGGGGAGGTGTTGCATGCTGCACCTGCACACGGCCCCGATTTGCAGGGCCCGACGGTTGCCGAGGGGGCCCCAGGCCACACGCCATCCAGCACGTGCCCTGGAGGCCCACGGCGGCCCTCTAGGTCGTAGGCATAGGGTGAGGCAGCACTCACTTAGTATTTATTTATTTATTTATGTGATGTGCTGTCCTATTTTTTTGTCGGTTCAGGCACCTTTTCGGACTTGCAGTCCCCAAGGCACGGCCTTGGGTTGGGTGCACCGGACGCAGGCCGAAACAGGCGCAGGTGCATTTTGGCGCCCTGCTGCACCAGTTGCACGGTCTGGGCCCCGGTAGGGACCTCGACCGTGGGGGCCGCTCTAGGCCACACAGCAGGTTACCCAGTAGGGCCCAGCGCACTATATAGCTGGGCCTCACGCTGGGCAGTGGACAGTTCGGTCGCTCACTTCTTGAGCGACACGCTGCTGGATAGAGGCTGCACTATTCTAGCACTGCGCTGCTGAGCTTAGGAGGAGAGGCGCACGGGGTAGAGAGAGAGGCGGAGGCCTACCTGCAGCGGTGGACTTACCTGGCACCATAGCTGGGACTCCGCGCGGTACCTGCACAGGACGACAGCATCGTCAGCACGGCAGCTACCCGCAGGTGAGACAGCGAGGAGGGCGACATCTTCTTCTTCCTCCTCGCCCTCCATCTCATCTTTCTCTCTCTCCCTCTCCCTCCCTCCTCCTCCTCCTCCTCCATCTTCTTCTTCAGATACGAGAGTGAGAGAGGCTATTGGCAGAGGATATCGGCAGAGGTTACGGTGGGCATGTTGGCCAGGATCCGATTCGACATTTCTGAGGCAGACAGTGATTGGACATCGGCAAGGGACTATTTTGGACTTCGCTATTGCGATCTTGGACTTCTCCCTCGCCTCCATCTTCGTCCTTCCTCTCCCTCCATCCCTCGTCTATGGTATCTCCCCATGTGCGTGTACAAGGAGGGACMTTTCTTCTTGGTGTGCGGTCCCTCCTCCTCCTCTCACATGTGTGATGTATGATGGGATGTCGTGTCAGTCCCGGTCAGGTCAGGACTTACCTTGAAGTCTTCCACTGCGTTACTGAGTGCCATTTTGTATGTATCTGGATGTAGATTGGCTGTTGATGGGTCACTAACATCGCATTGTCCATTCAGTCCTTTTCCTCAGCTCTTGCCCTCTACTGGCTTAACCCCTCAGCTCTTCTCCTCTACGAGCCTAACCCCTCAGCTCTTGTACCGCCAAACTCCCTCCTTTGTATCATGAGTATGCCCATTGTGTCTGCAAGCGGCCATTACACCAGTGGGAAGGGTGCTCTCCGAAATCTCAGAACTTACTATTGTGATAAAGAAAAAGGCCGTTGTTGTGTGTGGCCATTATTTATGTTTTATTCCCTACCTGAATTTTTTAGAGGGGACGGGTGGGATGTGCCACTACATTCCAATTGCAAAGGAAAAAAAGGGAAAAGAGAATAAATGAAAAGAAAAAAGGGCACAAAACAGACAGGCAGGTTAAATTCTAATGGCTGCCTACCGGTCCTTCGATTTCCCAATTTGCGGAACCGGTCAAAAGCAGACTCGGCAAAACACATTTTCTGGTTCGTCAATTTAACTTTGGCTGGACTTGTGGTTTAATGGCAAGAGCACCGAAACAAGCATACTCTGAAACACTAAATAATGAACGTGCTTGTACCGTGCCACATATTTGAAGGGAAGGTGGCGATCAATCTAACACAAGCCATGTGTTCCCTGCTGGCAGGCCAAGCTTCTGGGTCCTGCAGGTCCTCCCCTGTCTCCGACAGAACATTGCCAAACAAGGCTTTCTAGTGCAGCAGGGGGAAAATAGGGGCACATATCTCCTCGTTGTGGTCAGAGAGCTAGGTCTTGAGTGTGGAGCAGAGTTGTGACATAGTATTTCATAATAGATCCCCTTGTGATAGGCAAGTGAAGGCAACATCTTTTATGAGCTTGGTTTGACTGTTTTTCTGTGGTTGGTTTGTGGCCTTTAATGTTTTGTCATCCTGTACCAGCTGCAACTGGCCACTCTTATGGAGACATTGAAGCTTGCAGCACCCCACTACATCCGTTGTGTGAAGCCAAACATGCAATTGAAGCCACAGATCTTTGAGAACAAGAACGTTCTTCAACAGCTTCGTTGTAGTGTGAGTGATTCCTTTCTCTCTACACTTCACTGCCTATTTTGTCCTTTGGCTCACCATGCTGTACGGAATACCGTCTTCCATAAATTGTTGATTTTTCTTCATGGATCCCCAATTTTTGTTTGATAATATATTTGTAAGTCGCTGTTTTTGAAGATATTCCTTGTGATTTCACTTTCGGATCGGTTGTTGGTCCTTGTTTCCATAAGCATGCAAGTGGATGTATGCTAGGCATGTCTCACGTACAAAAAAAATAAAAAAATTGTACTCGCATCTTAGGGGCCCACCCTGTTAGACTTTCGAGCCTCGTTCACCCCTCCTCCATTGTGGGAGGGGTCCCAGTTGGCTCAGCCGCGCCCACGTACTTATCAAGGGCACGTGGCGTTTCGTTGTCGAGCGCATCAGCCCCCGCCTTTTCTCGTGAAGAGGCGGGAGCCCTCCCGACCATGTCACGCAGGAGTTTAAACAAAACAAACTTAACAAAGAGACAACTCGGGGATGACGCATAAACAATCCCACGAACCGTCGAGACGGACGCGGTCACGTCGTCCCTTCGCCGCTCTAGCTGGGTGCGCCAGCTGTACATCCCGCGGTCCCCTACGATAGGATAGGTTCCCGCGGGGCATAAGCTTGCTTCCCTATCCCTACCGAGCTACTGACCCACGTGCGAAAGCTTTTACATGCAGTTGCAGAGGTGGGTCAGTCGAGGGCGTTTGCTCGCTCGTTGTAGTATAGGTACGCGTGGTTAAAACGCCTATTGAACCCGAACATCATCCGTTCCTTAGGGCGTTGATCTCCTAAGTACGAAGCGTACGCCGATCGACTAGGACGGTTTCAACCAACCGTGAAACCCCCAATATCCTAGTCCCTTTTGTCACCAATTAAAAATAAAGCTATAACAACCACACATAGTTACATAAAAAAGAATCGACCGTAGTCGACAGGAACATATATCCGATCTGAAATGATAACTGAATGAATCATAATCATCATTAGATACATCCAATAACACAATATCAAAATAGAATCCGACCACCCCGGGTCGAATTCCACAAAAATCATACAGTTGGCTTTCGACAATAACCTCAATGCAGCCGACAAGTTAGTCGGTGCGTCTTAGTTTTGACTTGATGAGATGTGCTACTAAAGTTATTTATTCCATCCTATTGCCGACCTAAGATTGGACACGCACACACCCGTCTCCAGACGTTTCTCAACCTTCTTGGATGACGGGCTGTTTTGTGGATGATCCTTGATTAGGGGCATTGCTTGAAGTGTTGCATGCCTCTCCCTCTAGGAAGTGGTCTGGGATACTCCTTATTCTCGCCCGAGCACAAGACTCGGATCTCATAAGTCGGACCGTCTCCACCGAATTGGCAAAGTACCCCCCCGTAGAACGGTCCACTTTGGGTCGATAATAGGGCCGACTCCTAAAGCAACAAACCCCCGCCCCACATGCTTCCTTGAAAAAGAGCATGTCCACCACAAATAGATTTATTTGGACAGATAAGAGTTGTTCATGATAGAAAGTTACATTCGTTTGTCCTTATCTGCTTTATTAGAATCGAATTCATTTTACGGAGCATACTAAATTAATATTTTTCAAAACACTTTCTTGACATGCAAGTAGGTGAGAAACAAAAAGAAGACAATCATTTTCCCTCTTCTCAAATAGGCATAATCAATCTCCTTTGCAAGCATCCTTCTACCTACCTGCACACACAAAAACAACCAACAGGTTCAAAAAATTCAGCAACCCATACTCCCTCCAGATCCCATTTTTCACATGCATGACCACACACGCTTTACTCGACCTTTTCTTCTGAATGTTCAAAACAAACAAGGCCAAGCAGAGTGTGGGTTCACACAGGTGTGACAGGGATCCGAGTCAATCAACTAACTAACCTTGAGTGAAGTGGTGCCGAACGCGCCCTGGCTTACTCGAGAAAGCCAAGAAAGAATATACGTGTCGCAAAAGAAAACCGCGGTTCCAAGGCAAGTCTCAAGCCAACTGCTTGTCCGAATTTGTTCCCGACTTGCAAGTCCCGCACGCGGTAGTCCCAGATTCGATGGCGGCAAGTCGCACGAGCCCAAAAAAAAATGTTGGTTCCAAGACAGTCCCAACTGGTCCCACGTTTGTCCCAACCGGTCCCAAGTGGTCTCAGATGGTCCTATGCCACCAACCACCTTGTCAAAAAACCTTTGACCACAATAACTTCACGCCGCACTTCAAAAAAGACCGGAGTTCCGCTAAACCCAACCAGTTACCGTTGTGACCGCATATGCCCTGCGCCAGTCGTAGCTGGTCCTAGGCAGTCCCAAGTGGTCTGACACCACTGCCGCAAGAGTCGAGGCAGTCCCAATCCCCAACACTCTCCTTGCGTAGATTTCGTAGTGTCGCGCGCGCTAATTGCCCCCACATCACGTTGTCGCCGCCGCACGCTCCAACTCTGGTAGCACAACCTTATCAAACAAAACAGATGTCGTGTCGTAGAAAAAAACTCCGCCGCTGCCGTGCCGCAAATCCCTGTTGTCGTGTCACTATCCAGCAACATTTCCACACCAAAGAAAACCAATCCGGTAACACTTCCCCGCCAAAAGAAAAATCAAGTGTCGTCGCGTCGCAAATCTGGCAGCACTTTCCTGCCAAAAGAAAATTCAGGTGCCGCCGTGCCGCAAGTCCGGCAACACTTCCTCGCCAAAAGAAAATCAAGTGCCGCCGCGCCGCAAATCCGGCAGCACTTTCCCCGCCAAAAAAAATCAAGTGCCGCCGCGCCGCAATCCCAGCAGCACTTCCCCGCCAAAAGAAAAATCAAGTGTCGTCACGCCACAAATCCGGCAGCACTTCCCTGCCAAAAGAAGAATCAAGTGCCGCGCCACAAGTCCGGCAGCACTTCCCTGCCAAAAAAAAAATCAAGTGTTGCCAAGCCACAAGTCCGGCAACACTTCCCTGCACTGCCGCAATAGCCGCCGTCGACGCCGCGTCACCCAGACAACACCTCCCCAACGCGTAAGAAAAATGGCTGCCAGCAACGCCGCACCGCTCGTGCAACACCTCCTCAGTACTGCCGTTATGGCCGCTGATGACGCCGTGCCACAGCACCTTCCCAGCGCCGCAGTGTCGTTGTCGCCCCCTGTCGCATCTCACAGCCGCTCCTTGTTGCGCTGCCATAAATCCCCCTAGACTAGCCAGCCATTGGATGAAGCAGAGTGGTCCAGCCAGGCTATGGCTGTCTCGTCCTCCTCGCCGCACTCCACTGCCAGCAGCAGCCTCTGCTGCCCCCAGGCAAAATTCGTCACTTGCCTAGGGCCCTTGATCAAACACGATCAAGGGTCTGAGGTCATCGCACCTCAACCACACACTTAGGGAGGCAGTTACCCTCAACTGCCTCCTTCCTTTTTCCCTTTTTTCCTTGTACCTAGCACTTTATCAAGTGTAGGTACGTCACAAAAGTGGCTGTACTCAGCCACATTCCCCCCTGTCCCTTCAAGTTACAGGCTTGGCCTGAATAGCCACATTCAGGCTAGCCTGTACTTGAAGCACGGCTGCGACCACGTTCGTGGCTGTGGCTGTTGCTTTTCCTCCCCCCTTGCATTTTTCCTGCCCTCCCCTGAAAACCGGGAGGGTAGTTGTCAGGTTGGGAGGAGTAGGACCTCCCCCTCCTAACTCTAACGTTCCCCTTCTCCCTCTCTTCAACCTCCTCCATTTAAACTCCTTCACTCCCTTCTTCACGCGCGTCATCGTGAGCCGCGAGATTTCAGATCTCGCGGCCACGAATATTCGCGTGGGGAGCTGATCGTGCTCCCACACTGCCCAAAAGGCTGTTTTTTTTTCATGAGGCAGTTGCCTCGTTTTTTTTTTTTTTTTTCTTCGTTGCAACCCCTCACCGTTTTCTCCCTGCTCTTTGCATGCCACGATGACGTGGGGGAACTGAAAACGAAGAAAAACAAACAAAAGAAAAAAAGAATCTAGGAAAACAAAAACAAAAACAAAACAACTTACCTTGAACAGCAAAACAGCTGCCCGTTTTCAACGGGCGCCTGCTGTCCTTTCTGGGGATTGTAAGTCCCCAACCACATAGTTGTGCGCCATCTGTCGCGCCTGTAGTTTTTTTTTTTTTTTTTTTTTTTATAGTAATGCAACCGTTGGCATAAGCCAACGGCCACAGTCTCCAGACCCCACATCTTGCTGGCGCCTTCTTCCTTTCCTTCCACTGTGCGGACCTGAGTTCGATTCCCGTACAGGAATCGAAAAAAAAAATTGGGCCATTTCTCGATTTGTGCGTGTCATCCTTGCGCAAGGGCCATGCTGTATCCGCGCGGCCAGTTTCGGCCGTGAGATCTGACGATCTCGTGGTCAAAATCAACCGCGCCTCATGTTCCTTCCGGTGGGCTGCTCCAAAAGGAGCTAGCCCAATAAGGTGCCTTCAAGTTCGATCCCAGTGTCTGTTGGGTAATAGCTTGATGCCGTTACCTACTGGGTTAGCTCCTATTCATGGAAGCTAAACCCGCAGCTCTTCTATTTGAAGAGCTGCTGCCCAGTAGGTCACCCAGCCTCAGGACTAGGCAGCCCCAAATTGTGTCACCTTGGCAATCAGCGGTCGCCCCGCCATCTAACCGGCTGGGGCGTAACTTGGTGGGCCCGATAAGCCACCCCTTTGGCCTGCTCAAGCTCTGAATCGCGCGACTTAACAGCCGCGCGTCATCATTTTAAGTAGGATAGGGATTAGATTTAGTATTCCAACGCTCGTACGCCCCTCCGTCCTCGCCAGACGCGGTTGGTGACCGACCGCACCGCCGCTATAGCATGTCGCAGGCGTTTGGACTAAATTCAGTCCCTCGGTCGTAGGTTTGGTGTGAATAAACATCTGGCAAACGTCAGTCTCATCAAGTCCCTCAATTCAATAAAAAAAAATCGGACAGCGTCCGACATCGAAAAACCCGAGCAAATACCCTTTTAAGGGTTTTTGCTTCGACATCGTTACAGGGCCACCCCCACCTAA